CGCGTCGTCGCCGTATTTTCCTCCGCGGCAGCTTTCGCTTCGGCGCGCTCGTTGGCGGCTTTGGTCAGGCGATCGAATACAACCTGGTCCTTTTTCAGCAGCTTACCCCCTCGCTTGGCCTTCTTCGTGATGAGAGCCTCGAGCTCCTTCTCCTCCGCGCGGATTTTTTCCGCTTCTGCCTCGGCGAGAGCAAGCGCCTCCTGCTCAAGGCGAGCGGCCTCAGCGGCCTCGGCAGCTGCGGCTTCTTCCGCTTCACGAGCGATGCGCTCTTCCTCTTCCTTTTTCGCCTGCTCTTCCGCCTCCTTCTCCTCTTGGGCCTTGCGGGCAGCCTCTTCCTTCTCAGCCTTCTTCTTCTCCTTTTCGAGCTTCTTCAGCTCCTTCTCACTTAGCTTGGGGCTCTTTCTTCGGCTTCTCCGGTTCAGGTTCAGGTTCTGCTTCAGGCTCAGTCAAGTCCATGGGAGGGGTCGGTGCTGGTGGCGGAGGCTCGGCAAGTATGTCCTTACGGCTTTTCTTTGACTTCTTCTTTGAAGACGTTCCCCAGATGTCCAGATCGTCAGCAGCTTTGCTGTCCTTGGTCTCTTCGACAGAATCCGGCTGCACGGTTTCCAGTGCGGGTTCTTCCTCTACGATTTCGACCGGGACGTTCTTGGACTTCTTGTCCTTCTTCTTCTTCGAGGAGGCTGCGCCCCATATGTCCACAGGCTCCTCAATGGCGTCCGGCTTCCAGGTTTTGTCAGTAGTTGCCTCTTTCTTCTTGGTCTTCTTTCCGAAGGAGCTGATAAAGTCATCCTCGGCCATGGGGTCGCTTACTTCCGGAGCTGCAGGTGGTGGTTCTTCCGCCGCGGGCGCATCGTCCTGGCCAAAATCAACCAAGGCCGATGCTTTACCTTTCTTCGCGTCAGTTTTTTGGCCGAATGCACTCATCCAGTCGGTTCCAGAGGTTCCAAAGACTTTGCTTGTGGCGTTGTTGGCTGAGGGGGTTGCTTCGTTACCTTTCTTCTTCTTATCCTTGTCCTTTTTAGAGCTAACGGCACCCCAAATGTCCCAAGAACTAGGTTCGGCGGCCGCTGGCGCAGGCTCCGGCTCCGGCTCCGGGATGGGTTCGGGTTCTGGCTCAGGTTCCGGATCCGCCCCCTTCTTCTTCTTCTTCTTATCCTTCTTAGCGACAGCTGTCCCCCAAATGTCGACCTCGGGTTCTGGTTCCGCCTTGTCCTCCTTCTTACTACCGAAATCGTCCCAAAAGGCATCTTCCTTGACAGGCTCCGGCTCGGGTTCCGGAACAGGCTCGGGTTCAGGCGGAGGCGGGAGGCGGGGGGCGGAGGTTCCTCAACAGCGCCCTTCTTTTTCTCTTCTGTCTTTCTGGAAGTGGCTACAGGGCACCCAAGGGTCGTCCTTCTCTCCGGTTCCGCTCTGGTGCTGGTTCAGGTGGGGCGGGGCGAAGGCTCGGCTCAGGGGTGTCCCAAATCGATGCCGTTTTCTTTTTCTTGTCCTTCTTGCCAGTAGCGCCCCAGCCACTCATGAAATCATCGTCGGCCTTGGGGGGTTCTGGCTCCGGCACCGGCTCTGGCACAGGTTCGGGTTCCGGTTCGGGTTCAGGCACCACAGGAGGCGGCGGTTCCGGCTCCGCAGCAGCGCCTTTCTTTTTCTTCTTCTTGTCCTTCTTCGAAGTTGGGCTGCAAAGTCGCCCCAGGCCTCGTCGGGCTTGACAGGTTCAGGTTCAGGAATCGGTTCAGGGACGGGTTCCGGCTCAGGTTCCGGCACCGGTTCCGGCTCGGGCTCAGCAACGGCGCCCTTCTTTTTCTTCTTGGTACTTTTGCTTGTCGCTCCCCAGCCCCAGGCGTCGTCCTGCACGGGTTCGGGCTCCGGTACAGGCGGTGGGTCTGGTTCTTTTGGCGGTTCCTCCTTCTTCTTCGTTTTCTTTTTCCCAGTCCCCCAGCTATCCCAGATGTCGTCCTCTTCCTTCGGCGGATCAGGTACTGGCTCTGGAGCAGGTGGCTCCGGCTCCGGTTCTGGCTCGGCCACACCCTTCTTTTTCTTCTTCTTGTCCTTCTTGGAAGTCGTTGTCGTGGCCATCCAATCGTCGACAGCGGGTTCTGGGTCGGGAGCTGGAGGTGGTATCGGAGCTGGTTCCGGCTCGGGCTCGGGCTCCGGATCCCCCCATGGGTTGTTCTTCTTCTTCTTATCCTTTTTAGAAGCAGCCGTACCAAAGGAAAAGCCAATATCTTCTTTCTTCTCCTCTGGGGGAGATGTCGCCGGGGGTTCTTCGGCAACTTCTTCGACATCACCAAACCCAAAGCCAATCTTGCCCTTCTTCTTGGGCTTTGGACGATTGATGCCCCAAGCACTGTCGTCCTCCTTGGGCTCAGCAGGCGCGGCGTCTTTGTTGGTGCTGGAAAAGTCCCATGCCCCTCCTGTGGTCCAACTGGTGCCCCACGTGCCAAAGGATGATGTTTTGGTGTCTGTGGTGCCAAAATTGATGTCGAGCCCGCCCGAGCCCACGTTTGGATCGTCTAGCTTGATTTCCTGGAAAGAATCGGCGGGCGGCTCCTCGGGGGTAGGGTCTCCCGCAGCGCCCTTCTTGCCCTTCTTCTTCTTGGCGGGTGCGAAGCTGCCCCAGTCGTCAACAGGGTCAGGCTCGCCGCCGCCGCCACCAGCGCCGCCATCCCCTCCATCACCTCCGTCCCCGCCAGCACCACCGGCACTGCCATCATTCTTGCCAGCGTCGCCACCCTGATCGCCGCTGCCGCCTTCGTCGTTCTTCTTGGTGCCGTCGTCGTCATTGTTGTTGTTGGTGGTCTCGACAGGCTTGTTGGCGGCAGCTTTGGCAGCAGCGCTCTTTTTCTTTTTTGCAGCTTGCCAGAAGCCGTCCTCGGAAGAAAAGTCAACCTCAAATTCCTGGGTCGGGTCGGCGAAGAAAGCATCGCGACTGCGCCTCCGTCGCTCTTGCGGGGTAGATGTTGGAGGCAGCGGGAACGATGACAGCAAAGTGGGAGAATGTTGGCTGGCGCAGGCGTCAGTAGCGGTAGGGTCCATGACCATGTCGGTCGAATCCGAGGGCTCGGGCAGAGGGGCGAAGCGTCGAGACCATCGCGGGGCGCATTCGGGCACCGTGAGGGGAGATGAGGGGTTGTTGAGGGCTGAGTGAGAGTTCCTCCAGAGGAGGGTATATCGAGTCTGTGCAAGTCACGAGATTAGTTCCGATACCAAAAGAGAAGAGAACTATGCGCAGTTGATCTCAAGGGGTCCAGGCAGCACCCCGCCTATTGCCTGAAGCGTCGCCGGCGAGACACGCCGTCGCAACGCCGTCGGGCTCGAGGGGGGGTCTGACGGGTCTGGGATAGCAGTAACTGTGAACGGGTACCGGGTGCTACGCATGTAGGACAGCTGGTGCTGGAGAGTGATTCGCCCTCTTACCGTAGCATGGCGCCTAGCTTGCAACCACGCCCGGGCGATCATGCCCAGGCGGATGCTTGTATCTTGTTCATCCCAGCCAGTCGGTGAGGGCTGGGTCGTTGTTCTCCAACCACATGCGCTTTCCAGAATTGTCCCTGGGAACGCCAAAACCTCGGCCGTAGCCATTGTGGAATTTGGAACTGGCGATGCGATGGTCGGGTACGAAAATCATGGACGCTGTGGGAGGGTCGGTAGAAGCCGCTGGATCGGAGGAGGTCGTGGGTTTGTCGAATTGCAACGACGGGACAACGGGCTCGTTATTGAGGCGGGGAGAGGGTCGAGGCGAGTCTGGTAGCACGAACGTGTGTACACTTGGGCAGAGCGAACAGACAGCACAGTGGACGGAGAGCACGTTTCCGAGTTTGTCTCGTCTTAATCGGGCCTGGCGATGTAGGTAGCCTGGTGAGCAAGGACAGTTAAGCCAGTCTGCCCTCGAAGTGTGGAGGGACAAAGGCGAGACAAGGTGGTGATACAGAGCAGAGCAAAATATTTTTGCGCTGTCGTCTGAGGTTGCGTAGAAATGGACGGGCTGGGGAAAGGGCCCTGTGATGTGAAAAGAAGGGTCGGATCGATAAGTAAACGGAGACCGTCACCAGGCGCCGAATGACGGTGAAGAGCAGGGGGCAGGGATGTAGCTGTTCCGATCTCCCTCTCTCGTCGCTGGTGGCCTGTCGCCCTGGGAGTCAAACAATGCCCGCACGCTTGTGTCGTCGGGTGCTCGAGCCCGATTTCAAAAGCAGAAAGAGACGACTCGATCGCCGACGTTATTTTCTCTACTGATTTGGGTGGCGATTAGAAAGGTTTCACCTGTCTGGTTTCCTTCCTGCTTTCGATCTCTCCTCCTGAGCAGCGCAGGAGCAGATACAAGGGCCGCCAATGGATCATGGGGGCGTGAACCAGCCACGCTGCGAACCTGGGAGCCAATTGCGCCTTGCTCTCCCCTGCTTCTTCTCGATCTCGTCGCTCGACCAGGGCTGGCCAACGCAGGCGACAGTCCAGTCGGAATGTCCTCGTAGGCTGGTCCAGTGACCTGGTGATCAAGCAAGAAAGCTGCAGGACGAAAGGGGGTGGTGGGTGGTGGTTCTGTCGTGAGCGTGTGACGAGAGGGTGTCTCGGTCTCGATGGTTGGTTGGTTGGTTGGTTGGTACGTCGGTCGCCCTTCCAGGTCGTCTCTTCTTCAGCAAAGTGGCAGGGAGCGTTCTGATCGCACAATTCCACAGTGAGCAAGTGAACAAGGACGGACGAAACAAAGCCAGCCAAGTAAGGATAGCGAGAATGGCGAGTATATAAAACAGGCAAGTCAGAGTGCAAGGGCGAATATACATGGGGAAAGGCATGACGGGATGGTTATACAGCAGGTAGTAGTAGTATGGATGCGGCCACCAGGGGGGGAGGGGCTGTATGGATATCACGCACTTGCTTCATCCACCTTGCTCAAGGTACCTTACTCTCGAGGTGTTGGGCGTACAGGTACATGCAGAGCAAATGCCCCGGCCAGGTCAGAGCACTGTGGCCCTGCATGAAGACCACTAGTTGCAGTACAAGAGGTCGTCCCGTCCTCTGGCTCCCGGGGCGGTGGTGCCCATCGTGTCCACGGTTTCCCAGTACGCACGCCAGCGCATTGATGAGAATCAGAGATGGGGCCTCGTAGTCCATTCAACGTTTGGCGAGAAAGCAAGTACTGACTGCAGGAAGCAGAGAAGCACCTCCGGTAGGTGGGTACCTACCTAGGTAGGTACGAGACAACTCGAAGAAGGTCTGCTCCCTCTGTCCCTGCCGTGCACCTTCCCAAATCCACATTATGGAACGAGCCACGCGCGCGATGTTCTGGCCGTCTTTTGCTGGAAGGGCTGCCTCGATACATGACTGGCCGTCACTCTGATGCCTACCCCTGCTTGTGCCCCCCTCCATTCCAAGAAAGTCTGCATTCCCTGGGCACCACCACCTTTTCCACCACCACGCTGTTTGGCTGTCCACTCTTCTACGGCTTGACTTTCTTGACCAGGTGGCTACGGCAGGTGATGGTTTCCCTCCCATGTTGCCCCCTTGTTCCCTTGTCCTCGTTGCCCCCCTCCCTAGTGGCCTTGTACTGATGGGTCACCTAAAGATGGTCGCTAGCCAGGTAGAGCTCGATCAACCAGCACCCAGCCGAGTTGGACCCTACGTACCGACCAGCGCCCTCGCATGTCTCGACCGTTCTTTCTCTTCTGCTTCTCTTTCCCGTGTCTGATCAACATGGGCATTCTTGGTCCTCCTCGGCGCTTTCATCGTGGTGGACATCGAGACCAGGTCGACGAGTGCTGCCTGAACTGCCCCTCGCCCCTCGCCCCTCCATCCCACCAACAGGAACAGCGGAATTTGTGTATCACAACCCCTGTCACAACCCTTATCCGCATATGCCCCGCGCTTCGCTAGACCCAAGACATATCGCCGTCGCTCTCGCTCCCGCGCTCTCCTTCTGGTTGTCTCCTGGTGTCTCCCTGTCATCACAAGCCTGTTATTCCCTCGTCTGAGGAGAAGGGAGGGGGCCCGCCAGGACTCACAGCACTCACTCAGCCTACAGCACATCGCAGAGTGCAGGTGGGGAGATGCTGGTCGATCCAGCTGTCAATGCAAGCAAGTAGGCAACCGGGGAACACATGCCACGCCTTGAATCAATACAGTTCATGCCTGAGCGCGCGTCGTTAGCATGGTCGCTCTGGGCACGTCGCTCGACCGCAGAGCCGGAGACCCCAGCAGCCGTCAGCACAGAGACGTCACCGATGGGGAACCAGAAGCGGCACTCTAGGCTCGGCTCCCTGGCGACGACGAACCGACCCGTCGGCCTCGCCCTGCCGGGGCCCTGCCAACGCGGGCCCCATTCACCATCAACCCACCACCACTACGTATGCCCTTAAGGTACTGTTACATGAGGACTGGGCAGCCATGCACCGGCTGACCATGTATCTTCGATTCGATGCGGCAGAGGAGCGGCAGCATGGACGGGTATTATCGCAGCTGGGAAGCGCGCATCACATCGGGAGCTAACACGTCTCGTCTCCATCTGCCTCCACGCCCATGCGCCCATGCGCCCATCTCACGCAGATCCGTCCACTCATCCCCCAGAGTGGTCCCAAAGCGGTATCGCGTCGCCTTCACCGCTCCTCGACTGTAAACCTCGAACAACACGCCAAACCCCGACATCGACCAACCAGCACAGCCATGAATGCAGCTTCGTTGTATTGCGGCGGGCAGCAGCGCAAAATTTTCTCGAATTGTTTTTTTCTCAGTCCTCGGCATGAGACACGACCCTCCAGTGGCCCTGCTCCCACCATGGTTCGCCGCCGTCACGTACATGGGCCGGGCGAATTGGTGCAGTTCGTGGCGGCGGGAAGACGCAGTAACGCAGAAGGCAAAAGGGAAGCAGGCAAGCAAGACGAGGCAGCCAGTGCATTAACGCAGCAGGGGTCCCCAATCGGTCGACTTGCCTTTGCATTTGTGTCGACTTACCTTACCTCCCGGCCGCAGTACACTTGTCGTCTCGTGCGTGGCTGTCTAACGATGCCGGCGCCCCATTCAGCATCCACATCCATACCCAGCCACTCACTTTTTTTCAAGCGCCTTCTCTGCAAAGACGAGTCCTCTCAAGCGGTCAGACCCGAGATGGGGCGCAAGGCTTGACAAGGTGTCCCTTCATCGCCTGTGGCGCTGCCTTCAGGTTGGAAAATTGGGTCCGATGAAGACAAGGCAAAACTGGTGCTGCAAGTCACGGTACGTGGCCTCCAAGCCGGGCCAAGCGGGCACAGAGCGGGAATCGTATCGACACTTTCAAAAGCACGGCATAGGGCGCACATAGGGCGCCTCGTGGGAAGGACCTTATTACATACCAGGCTTCACGCGCGGAGGTATGGTTGTCGCGTGGTAGTTGTCAAGTACTGGGGTCAGAAAGCACCTCAACAGGCGTGAATCTCCACCACTTTCCGGTACCACTTTCCGGTACAGAAGCGATCGAAGGCCAACCCTCTGCTTCCGACCTGGCTCCGGCGGCCGTGGCCGGTCGTGTTCTAGCGAGGGCCGAGAGGTGGCTAAGCTGCCAGTGGTGGCCACTATCACGGTGATGCAAGCCACAATGCTCCTGAGGCGGGTCGCGTCAACGTCGTGAGCTTCATGGCCCAAGATCCTGGAGTCGACCAAGGAACGGGACGTTGAACCTTCACAACGAGCCGTTCCTACGCCCGTGGCTTCTCAGACACGCCGTGCTTGCAGGACCAGGATCGGAAACAAAGAGGGTCCCAGGACCGAAGCTCATCAAATGTGATGATAAGCTGAACAATGCTACCGAACGACGGTATCCGGGCTGGTTGAGTTGGCCTCAAGCATCTTGGTGTACCCTGATGCATTCTTTGTCTGGCAATACAGTCACCTGCCCCCTTAGCCTTCGGTTTCGCTGAAAGCACTCCGCTCTTGAGTTGCAAAAGCTCACATTTAAGGTTCCGAGCATCATAGCCAGTTGCCCCTGATCATAAGATAGCTCATGGGTGATATTGCCACGGTGAAATGACACCTTTCATCGTGTCCCAACCCTTCCTGCATCGTATCCAGAGGAGACCTCGCGCGCATCATTGACGTCCTCCCCTTGTGCCTCGCCACCGTATCCGCCGCTTCTGCCAACGGCCAAAAGAGCACGCAGTGGGCTGGTGCACACCAGTCGTGAGCCATATACGCCATGCCCGTCACACAAACCTTCATCATCCGCACGCCCATCCCGCCATCCATCCCACCTGCCACCGTCCTCGCCCACCTCCACCAGCACGGTCCCGTCTTCCGCGCCAACGACTCCATAACAGCCTGGGACGCGATCCCCGTGCCGTACGCCTCCATCGCCAACGACCCGTTCTTCCTCCCGGACGCCGACAGCATCCCGCCTATCGTGTCCGCGAGAGCATTCCCATCTTCGGCTCCGTCAGCGCGCCGATCCGCTTTCCGGCCGTGTTCCAAAACGGACCGACCGGCATGAGGGTCAGGGTCGACGCGCCCGGAGGCGTGCGCGTCTGGACGCAGTACATCGTGCGGAAGCCGGAATCGGGCCCCCTTGG